GATTATGCAGATGACACAACCTTGTTGGCTGAAAGTGAAGAGGACTTAAAACACTTCCTGCAGAAGATCAAACTCTGTAACCTTCAGTATGGATTGCATCTTTTGTTTCAGAAAACAAAAATTCGCATCACTGGACTGAAGAAAAGTAGACAGAGAAAAGATTGAAACAGTCAGTGATTTTGTGTTACTTGGATCCACAGTCAATACACTTGGTACCAGCAGTCAGGAGATTAGGAGACACATAGCACTGGGAAAGTCTGCAGTCAGGGACCTTTCCAAATTACTGAGGAACAATGATGTTAGTTTGAGGACTAAGATTTGCCTGATTCAGCTAGGATCTTTTTAATCACTTGCTATGTGTCTGAGAGCTGGAATATATATATAAAGAATTGATTCCTTTGAACTGTGGTGTTGGAGATGAGTGCTAAATATACTATGGACTTCCAAAAGAATAAACAGATATGTCTTGGAGAAGGTGCAGTCAGAGTGCTCTTTGGAGACAAGGATGGTAAAGCTTCTTCTCACATATTTTAGGCATGTTACTAGGATAGACTATTCCCTGGAGAAGTTAATCGTGTTTGGAGAGGTGAAGGGACAGTAAAGGAGAGGAAGACTTCAACAAGGTGGATTGACACAGTGACAATAGCAATGGTCTCATGTGTGTCAGCAATTGTGAGGTTGACACATGACAGGATAAGGTTCATAAGGTTGTTCATAAGGTGTGGTTACGGGCCATACTTTACTCAACAGCATGTAACAGCAAGGAAAAGCCAAATTGGCCATCCATTTCTTAAATAGCAGGCCTCTTAAAACCCTTTGAATAGGGAGCTCTGGTGGCCTAGTGGCAAGAAGCTGCACTGCAATCCCAGAGGTACACTGTTCAAATCCATCAGATGGGACAATTTCCTCCTGTATCAGTCAGATCTGCTTTGATGGTACACACACACACACACACACACACACACACACACACACACACACAAATTAGTAAGATAAAAGCTCCCCTATGAATAATAAAGGATCACATATTCTTATAGTATTAGAGATAGAACCACAGATTAATAAGATCTATTAAAGAATTTTATAATAGTGACCGAAGGAGGAGGGAGATAAGGGTATATGTACAAGATGTGAGTAGAAAGAAGATCATCACTGCCTTCTAGTCCAGGTATGAGTTTTGCATGACCACAGTTATGTGCTCTGTGTTCCTCACTCTTCTCAAGGTTAGCCACAATTTGTTGTCTTCCACACTGTCAAATGCCTTTGCATAGCCAATGAAATAGAGATAGACATTCTTCTGGTACTCTCTACTTTCAGCCAAGATTCATCTGACATTGGCAGTGACGTCCCTAGTGACATCATGTCCTCTACTAAACCCAGCCTAGAGATAGAGGTAGATAAAGTAGGTGTAGGTGTATAGATATAGATATAGATGATATAGGTATAGATATAAAGAGATATAGATGTAGTTAGATATGTTGTGGTGTTGTTGCTATGTGCCATCGAGTCGCTTGAGACTCATAGTGACCCTATGTACAACATCCCTAAACTCTGCTCTGTCCTGTGCCAATCGCACCGTCTCCGATACACCCATCCCGATTACCCCAGTCACTGAATCAATCCACCTCATAGGGGCCCTTCCCCTTCTGCACTGTCCCTCCACCCTACCAAGCATGATGTACCTCTCCAAGGACCTGTCCCTCCTTGCAACATGTCCAAAGTATGTTAGACGGAGCCTCAGAATCCTTGCCTTCAAGGAGTAGCCCAGTTTGACCTTTCCAGGATGAATCTGTTTGTTTTCCTAGCAGTCCATGGTACCCTCAATACTCTTCTCCAGCACCACAGCTCAAAGGCATCAATTTTCCTTCTATACTCCTTAGTCATTGTCCAACTCTCTGATGCATAACAAGTGATAGCAAAGACCATGGCCTGTATCAGATGCACCTTAGTCTCCAAAGAGACACCATTGCTCTTCAGTATAGTTAGATATAGAGATAGATAAATAGATGATAGATAGATAGATAGATAATCTCTTCTAAACCTCTAAACCTCTTCTAAACTAAGGCTGTACGTGTATTGATAAATAGATTGATAGATAGATAGATGATAGAGAGATAGATAGAGATGGACGATCTCCTTCCATATGATTTATTGCCTCTGAAAACACACTAGAGAGTCAACTATGAGTCAGTTCCAAATGGACAGTGCACGCCTTTTAACGACGGTGAAATAGTCTCATTAATTTGCACTCCCTATGAGTTGGAATCTGTTTGAAGGCGTTTGCTTTGTTCTTTTTTAAAAATTGCTAAGAATGGAGCTCCAAGGATGAAGTGGTTAAGTGTAATATTCCTTGTCAAAATATTGCTAGATTAAACCCGTTAGCCTATGAAGAATAATGTGTCAGTCTTCTATAACTGTTTATAGATTTCCAAACTATATGAGAACATTTCTACTCTTCTGTTGTTGTGAGTCAGAATCAACATGATCAATTTTAACAGATTTGGTTTTAATTAATAGCTGATCTTTTCCCATATTTGTTGTGTATCCTCAAGTGAATTTTCCAAATACTTTGCCTATGGTTTGATTAACCTGCCTTTTATTGTTAAATTATATTAGTTTGATGATTTTCATGGGAAAAAAGGGCCTCAGGAAAATATAGAGATAAATGCATCATCCTTTAAATACGCTTCTTAATTATTAAATGAATTTCAGTCTTAACAACAATAACAATTAAGTCTCAGGTTTGGAGGCTGATGTCTGAAGTGGTTGGGTTCTGGAAGGTAGCTTGTTTTGCTTTGGTTGAAGGTCAGGTGTGGACTATGTGGGGTTTTTTTTCATTCACAGTTACGGGTGAAGTGAATGGACTTGCTGTATTTAGCTAACAATGAGCTGTGGGCTGGAAGCCTCTTGTTTAGAGTCAACAGGACCTGGTGTAGGGCCTTTATATTTAAAAATCAGTTGGACTCTAAGTGGTTGGATTCTGGAAGGGGTTTCTTTGGCTTGGTTGGATTCTGAAAGGTGGATTATCATGTTTTGGTTGAGGGTTGGGTGTGGAATTTTTTTGGGGGGGGTTTCCATTCACAACCGTGTGTGAGCTGGTGTTAATTGTGTTTGGGACTAAGATTCTTCTAAGTGGTACAGCATTGGTCTGTCAATTTGTTGTACCAAAATAACTTGGGATTGCTGTGATGCTGAACACTGTGCCACTCACGTGTCAAATGCCATAATGGTTACCCATGTTGAACAGTGTTTGGTGAAGCTCCTAGATTAAGACAGGCTTGGAATCAGGAGTGGTATCCACTTCCTAAACAATATGCCTCTGGAAACTCGACTAACTTTGAGAAATGATGATAGCTATAGAACAGGGTTCGGGTCTTCTGTTCATAGGGTCACTATGAGTCATGCTTGACTCAATGACACTTAACAATAACAACAACAATAACAAGTGTATATATGTATGACTATGCATCTGATGGGTCTCTAACTCATTTTTTCAGTTTCTTTAGATAATTATGACTATCAATCACAAGGAGCAGACAAAGGACTCATTCCTCTCAATAATGAGGTTTTGAACTTTGTGGAACCTTCTGCCCTGTATCGGGTGACATTTCCGTGGGTTTCTAAGACAACACTCTAGTCTTGCCTGCTTTTTTCCCAGGGTGCAAAATGAAAGAACATGTATCATTTCTTCTTCAATTTAAGCCATGTGTTCAGTCTTGAGGTTTAAATTAGCACTCTTTTATGTTCTAGGTAAATTTAGCACTAAGCAGAAAGTTTAAAAGACACTTAGATGAGTGAAAGCTAAATGAATGTCCTTAGAGAAACTTTCCTTCCTGGTGAAAGAGAAGGTGAGCTCTGAGTTCTCAGGAAACATTGTCGGTGAAAGAAGTTTGACTCTTTCCACTAGCTTCTGCAGGGCATTTCTACATGAATATTCTTTTCAAAAAATTTATTAATTTTCATGAATGTTTACAGAGATTTTGGATTTCCATTCATTCATTGTTGCATTTTTCTTCCTGCCCCCTCCCCCCTCCCCTCCAGTTAGCTCTTCTTGAAAAGTAAAAGAAAAATTCTTTCATTAGTATACAATCTGCACTCCCCATCCCTGTCTCGAATACACTCCTCTATGCAAACTTTATTCTGTACTCAACATGAATATTCTTATGTCTGTTTGTATGAAGAAGTTGTTTTTATTGAAAAATATTCAAACAAGAGCATAATTAAAAGCCAAAGCAGAGTTAAGTGGGGGTGCAGGCGTTCTTAGTGGAAATATTTGCATCAGTCAGTGCTTCTCATAACTCCAGAAGGAAATGGAATCAAGGCACCTTGCTTCCTATGAAACAAACAAACAAACCAACCATGTTTAGAAGTCATGTTTAGAGATAGATTATTAGAAACTATGGCTTGTCCCTGGAAAAATAAAGCCATAAATACTGTGGCCACTGTTTTCCTATTCAGTTTAAGAGTTGGTGAAATGAGTCACCCCATTCTATCTGATTAGTAATAAAAATAAAGGACAGGCATTTGCCTTAATATTTTTTTAGTAAATTTAAAGTGGTTCCCATCTTTGGAGAACAGGAGAAGAATAGATAATTCCTGTACTGGAATAGGTGAAGGGAAGGTCAATCTCAAAGGAACGGTTGATCAGACAACATTATGTGTACTGCAATTAACAATCTGGAACAGGACATACTCTACAGATTAAACAGGGATAGAGGAGAGAAAGAAAAGAAAAAAACCAAAAAACAACCACTCACCCTTAATAAAGAGAGAGGTAGGTGAAGGGAATAGCAATATACAATAAGGGTATGCTTAGTCATGTAAAAAGTTAATAATGTCAATCAATGGTGGGTAATAACTATGAACGACTGTCTGAAAAATAAGTATGGTCAACTAAATAGATTTTTTTAAAAAAAATGAAGTGATTCCTCTTTCACTCACCCAAGAAAGGGAAATCCTCAGTACAGTTGGGAATATGAAAGCCCATTTGTTTTGTCAACTTACATTTGTTGCACTTTCAATAATCTTTGGACCCATTTGGTATTAGTGTTCAAGCACACAGATGAATTATCCCGCATCTTGGCACTTGGAGGAAAAGAAGTAAAAATAAGTGTTACATTTCAGTCAATCCTTTGTTTTTAACAATGGAAAGACTTATGCAGGAAAAGAATAATTCACCAATAGTGAAATCATTGTTGCTGATTGTCTTTGAGTCACGCATGACTCATAGCGAGCCTATGAACAAAAGGCCTGAAGCCCTTCTACAACTATCGACATTTAACAAAGTTCATAGAGTTTCTGGAGGCATGTTATTTAGGAAGTGGATGGCACTCCCTAGAGTGAAGTTATTTTGGATGTGGGATAGGTGACTGGTGGCATGAAGTCTGAGGGAAAAAAAACCATATCAAACCACACTCATAAAATACTACTGTGAGGTACCTGAGGACAAACTTGATAGAATTTCACATTTCAAAAGTTAGTATTTTGTTGATGAAATTTCCCTGAACTGGAAAGGGATCCAATAGCTAGCTGGATGCCAGTTTTGGGTTCTCAACAAAGGTTACATTTTAGTATCTTAAAAATGTGTCCATTGAACTTAGGAGACAACTAGTAAGGGAATTTTATTTTTAAAAAAATATTAATATGGGAGAGAATACCAGGTCAATTGCTTTGAGACACATTTGTGTTTAATTGAGAGGCCAGTTAATAAAGTTTTCGCTGCTATAAGAAACTAATAACAAAAGCAACAACAATGATTAATAGCTAATATTTATCAGCTATTTATTATGTATCAGACTATGTTAAGCACATAATAAGGATAATTTTATGGATTCATTTCATAAGACCACATACCAGAGAAACTTATTATTTCATCATCTTAAGATGATGTAAGCGTGATGTTGTGTTTCATCGTTGACTTATAGTTGACCACCTGGTGGGTTTTCAGAGGCAGTTAATTGTATGGGAGGAGATTGTCCATCCTTCTTCGGTGGAGCAGCTGGTGGATTTGAACTGCATGCCTTGAGGTTTAGAAACCTTAAATAATCTGTCTAAGACTGCATAACAAATGAAAGATAGAGCAGGATTCAAATTAAGATTCGGTGATTCCATAATGTGTCTGTCCAGCCCCCACTCTGCACGGACACAGCTTTAATGTCCACCAAATATGAGGCATGATGCTAGCTGCTGTGTGTGCCTGCACTGGAAGACAATATCAAACTGGAAGTCTTTATTTCATGTGATGACCTTGAGCAAAACACGATCTCTTGGTGTTCTGATGATCTTAGCAACACAATGGCAAACATCAAGAATCTGGCACCTAGTTTTGAAACCTCACCATTCTTAGAGAACACTAAGACTATCAAGTCTTGGCCTGATCTTTCCCGTTTAGTTTCTGATGGATGGGAAGAATCTGACTATCTAGATCACAGCATTTCCTCCCATAACAAGTACGGAGAGATCTGGTAGTCTAGTCCATAAGGAATTGCTGATAACCTAAGAGTGGTGCCTCTCTGGAAATTCAAACCCACCAGCAGTTCCACAAGAGAAAGATGGGCAATCTCCTTCTGTGTGAATTACGGCTTACAAAAACTTACTAGAGGATTAGCTATGAGTCTATTCTGACTCAAGGGCCATGAACTGAGATTGTTGTTATTCTGTATCCTTAAGCAGAAATGGCTCAAAGCTGACCATCAGTGAATTTTCAGAAACAATTGATCACACTTGAAGTGATGACCCATCTTTCTCTCGCTGAGTACCTAGTGGATTTGAACAGAGCAACTTTGTATTGGCAGCACAGTTTTTTACCACTAAACCAGCAGAGCTCCTTCAAATAGACTAGTATACATTATGTACAAATTTGGTTAAAATTCAGCAACTCAGAATTTTGTTATATCAAAGCAAATATTTGTTACTTCAAAAATATTGGCATTAAATAAAGAAAATGAAGATGCTCTATCTCTTTTGGTTGAAAGGGAGAGACTTGCATAATGAAAGGCAAAATGTAACCCAAAGAAAGTACACATGACAAGAGGAACTGTTCTCAAAGACATTAAGAACAGATTATACATCTCTAAGTTTGAGAACACTAAATAGAATATTTCTGTTGTTATGTGCCATTGAGTCAATTACAACTCATAGTGACCTTATGCACAATAGTTCTGAATCCCGCTCTATTCTGATCCAATGTCACTGTCTCTGACATACTTACCTTCATTAGCCCAGTTAGTGTGTCAATCCTTCTCTTCCGGGGACTTCCTCTCCTTGCTGTCCCTTGACCCTTCTAAGCATGATATCCTTTTCCAAAGACTGGTCCCTTCTGGCTATGTGCCTAAATTATGTGAGACAGAGTCTCAAAATCCTTGCCTCCAAGGAACAGCTTCACCCTCTCGAGAACAGACCTGTTAGTTCTCTTTAACGTCCATGGTATGTTCAACACTCTTCTTCAGCACCTTGGCTCAAAGACATAAATTCTTCTGTCAACATTGGTCATTGTTCAACTCTCTGATGCATAGCAAGTAATTTCAAAGACAATTGTCTGGGTCAGGTTACCCTTAGTCTCCAGATTGACACCCTTGATCTTTAGCACTCTGAAAAGGTCTCTGACAGCAGATTTTCCTAATGCAATTTGACTTTTGATTTCCTGACTGCTAGTGCCAAGAGTGTTGATTGTAGAGCCGAGAAAGCTGAAATTGTTAACACTCTCAGTCTCTTCTTCATCTATCATGATGATGTTGCCAGTTGGCACAGTGGTGAGAAACTTTTTTCCCCTGATGCTGAACTTTGATCCACATTGCAAACTACAGTCATTGACCCTCTGCAGCAAATGCTTCAGGCCCTCTTCAATTTCAGCAAGTAAAGTTGTGTCATCTGTGTGGCAGAGGTTGTTGAGGAGTAGTCCTCCAGACCTGATGCTATATTCCTCCTCATAAATCCAGCCTCCTGAATGATCTATTCTACATATAGATTGAAAAGGCATAGAGACAGGATACATTCCTGACATACTCCTTTTCTGATTTTGAGCCATGCAGTGTTTCCTTCCTCTATTCTGATGACTGTCTCCTGGTTCAAGTATAGTTTTCCCATGAGTACAATCAGGTGTTCTGGGATTTTCTATAAGGCCTTTTAAATTAAACATAATCATATCCATTACCCACATACCAATTGTGATTTTTGTAAGTAAAATAGAAATAGTCAATACAAATAAAGAACCTAAAGTACTGACATTAAATGGGAAAGAAAAGGCAGTTTCTCACAAGCATCTCCAAAGTTTAAGGACATTTGAGCAATGAACTGACAGCAATGAAGTAAAAAGAGCCTGGAAAAAAATACGGTGTCTAATATTGCAAGGAATTGAGAGTGCCATTCATGAAAGATCCACCCAGGAAGGAGAAGTCAAAGCTCCAATTAGTCACATGGAAAAAAATATACAGGTTCCATTTAAAGTATTCATAGAAACAATATAACATTTGCAGATTTTTATTATATGCCAAATACGGAATAAAGTAGTCTCAATCACATGTTATACATCTGAAAGTTGGACAATAACTAAGGGTGTCAAAAGAAGAATCTATGCCTTTGTGTTGTGGGGTGGAAGAACACTAAATAGCCTATGGGCTGCTAAGAAAACAAACAGGTTATGTCCTGGAGGAAGTGAAACCATGGTTGGTGCTCCTTGGAGACAAGGATAGTGAACCTCTTTCTTAAAGACTTTGGACATGTTGTTAGGAGAGATCAGTCTTTGCAGAAGGAAATCATGCTTGGAAAGGTGAAGATCAGAGTAAGAGGGGAAATTCCTCAACTAAATTGATACAGAGACTGTAACAATGAACTAAAGTGTGTCAGAGTTGGTGAGGACAGGACAAGCTTCACATCTGCTCTTCACAGGGTTGCTATGAGTTGCAGGTGACTTTACATTACATAACAACACATTTGGAATAGAGAAATGCACAATCTCATCCTTGTCTCTGGAGAAATATTCTCTACTGGAAGTTATAGAGACAGTAAAACAAAATCTGGGATAAAACAAAATCTGAGAGTGTTTCATCACAGAGAGCTCTAATAATTACAAGTCATTGTTCAACGATCTAACATTCATTGAACAACTATGTCTGTGCAAAGTACCACACTAAGGGTTTGCATTCAATGTCTCACAAAACTAATAGACAAATAAGCAAATAAAACCCTAAGGGAAAGAAAATGTCACTTGGTTTCGAAAACTATGCCATTAGCTGTAATGGATCATGAAGGCAAAGGCAAGAATTTGAGGTTTGGACAATTTGCAGAGTCATATTCTATGGCTGAAAATCTGGAAAATGTGCACATATTTTGTCTCAGTGGCATAAGGTTGGGTTTTGGAAACAGACTTGAGTTTAAATCTTAACTGAATTTATTAGTTGAAAGTCTTTAAGGTAGTCATTCGCCCTCAATATTCCCAGGAGTCATCCTCATATGTCATTGTAAAGAGAAAATGAGATTCTGAGGGGTGGGAGAGGCTGGAAGCAGAGGGATGTGGATGTGCAGGGGGAGGAGGGAATGAATCATTGGTTGTACAATTTGATGGGGGGTTGAGGGAAATTGAAAGAATTTGTTTGAATTTATATTAGAATTTTGTAAATAAACTAATGAAAAGGGAAAAAATGTCAATTTGGGGAGGGGGAAGAGAGAGAAGGAGGTAAAATGTGCGGCAATGAATGAATGAATGAAAATCTAACTTTTCTGTAAACAAACTTTTGTTAAAATGACAATGAAAAAAAAAACACCACATGGTACTAACTAGGGAAAAAAAAGCATCTGTGAGAAATATTGTACTAGAAGTATCCACAGATGACTCTGGAAACAGAAAAGGCAGGGCCACACTGTCTCAGGAAAAAAGTAGAAAGCTATTCAATTTCTTGAAATGCAACTGTCCCCCTAATTTTGCCTTTAATCAGAGTTATGGGATCATCAACCAGAGGGTATATTAATAATCATTCACAGAAATGGCTGTTCTGGATACTTATTTTTTTGCTGTTTAACTTGTTGGGGGGTAAATCGTATACTGTTGCTTCAAGTTTTACTTTGGTGGGTTATAGAAGAGGCTTTGGGATAGAAAAATATTTTGTTTTACTTGGATCCACAATCAATATCCATTTAACAGTAGTCTAATCAAAAGATGTGTTGCATTGGGAAAATCTACTGTTAAGGACTTCTCCAGAGTGTTCGTTTAAAGACTAAGGTGCACCTAGTCTATGCCATAGTATCTTTAATTGCTTCTTATGCATCTAGAAGTTGGACAATGAATTAAGGATGAGAGAAGAAGAATCTATCCTTTTGAATTATGGTGTTGGAGAAGAGTATTGCATAGCCCATGAACTGTCAAAAGAGAAAACGCATACGTCTTTCTGAAAGTAGAGTACTCCTTAGAAGCAAGAATGATGAAGCTTTATCTCCCATACTTTGAGAATGTGATCAAGTGGGGCTAGTCTTGAAAAAAGACAGACATCATGCTGGGAAAAGCAGAGGGTCAGAGAAAGAGAGGAAGATCTGCTACAAGATAGATTGACACAGTGGCTGTAACAATGGGCTTGAGCATATCAGAGATGGTGAGCATGGGGTATGACAGGGTAAAGTTTAGATCTATTGTTCAAAAAGTTGCTAATCATGAGTTGTACAATTTGATGGGGGGGGGTGAGGGAAATTGAAAGAATTTGTTCTTGAAAAGAATGTATTCAAATTTTGTAAATAAACTAGTAGAAAATAAAAAAAGGGGAGAAAAGGTTGTTATGAATTATGGTTGATCGATGGCCCAGAAAGAGAAGGAGGAGAAGAAGATTAAGACACCCCTGGAGTAGCTATGAATCATAGTAGACTCGATGGTACTTAATAACAACACCACGAGTTGGAAATAGATTCAGGGCAACTTAATAAAGAATTTTTTAAAATTTTATTTTATTAATTTTAATGAACATTTACAGATATTTTGGATTTCCATTCATTCATCGTTGCACTTTTTTCTCTACCCCCTCGGCCCCCCAGTTGGTTCCTCTCTTTGAAAAGCAAAAGATAAACTTCGTCGTTGTTATGCAATCCCCCCACCCCTCACCCCACCCCCCGCCTGGAATGCTCTCCACTATGCAACCTTAACTCTGGATTCCTGTGATAATCATAACACCCTATCATATATCACTTTTAAACTGTTCTCTCCCTCATCTTTACCAAAGAATTTTTAATACCACTCAAGAGAAAGAATTTTGAGACTACTGAGTAAGAATATTGCCTGAGAACTCGTAGTCTGATTTTAAATGGAGAAAGGAATCATATAATAAATTATAATAATTTTTCTGGCAACTTACACGACTTCTATGTTTGAACAACCACTCCCAGCAGGGTAGATGTGAAGGTACTTAATCCGTCTCACGTGGATAAAAGACTTGGTATCCCTCATGCAGTTACACTTTAAGGTCGTGTAATAACCTTCCAGAAAACCTGTAAACATAAGCATAATCATTTATTTTTGTCCCTTTGGCATATAATTAATAACTAGAACTTAATTATACATTCTTTCTTTTCTTCTTATTTTTATTATTATTAATTTAATGAACATTTACAGAGATTTTGGATTTCCGTTCATTCATTGTTGCACTTTTCTCCCTGCCTCCTCCCGTCCAGTTCGTTCTTCTCTTTGAAAAGTAAAAGAAAAATTCTTTCCTTGTTATACAATCCATCCTCCCAAGTCCACTCCACTATGCAGCCTTCCTTCTGGACTCATGTCATGACACTAATACCTAATCATATATCC